GGTGGAATGTTTGAGAAGGATTATTGTCTTATTGTGTCTTTTTCTCTAAAGGTTGAATGTTTGAAGAAGTTTATTGCGTTATTGTTTTTTTCCAGAAAGTTCTATCCTGGTGTTAAAATAGATTAACTGTACATCCAAATGTAACTTACCGTATATAATATGCCTGCTTTTGGTAATGAGCAGGACAGTCTTGAGAGATTGTTCTCCCTATCCTCCAGATTGTTGGGTTTCTGTTAATAAAGCTTGGATCACATCTGTCCCCATCTCCGTGATTGACTACAGTGACAGGCAGTAAACCCTTGTTTCAGTGTGGCAACAGCAGTCAAGTGCTAACCACTGTGCCACTAGGGATCCTCAGATTTTCCGTGTACAGTAAAGTCTTAAAGTTTTTTGTAGAAAACAGATACACCTCAGGAAGCCTCACTTGACAACAACACTGAAACTGGTGTGAAGTGGGAGGTGGAAGCTTATTGGTTGATACAAGAGTCAAGATGGGTTAAGGGGGGTCCTGACCTGGGGCACAGACTATGGGAAGGAGTAATGGAAATGGCTCACTTTTATCACACCAAGAGCTGCCCAGAGAACTCATGCACTGCCCCTCGTGGTGCCTGGGTAACTTCCATTGTTCCTCCAAGGCCACCATCCACTCTTGTCCACTCTGCTCTGTGCCCTAGAAACCTAGATGGCTTCAGTGGATCTCTCACTTTTTTAACAGCTTTGTTAAGGTATCATTCACATACCAAACAATTTACCCATTTAAAATGTACACCTCAACAACTTTTAATATATTCAGTTATGCATCCATTGCCACAATCAATTTTAGAACATTGTTATTATTCCAAAAAGAAATACCTATGCTACTTAGCCATTACCCCTCAAACCTCCCTTCCTATTTCCTTCCTCCTAGTCAACTACTGGAGTCCTGGTGTGGCGCTGTGGGTTAATGCGCCAGACTGCAAAGCTGTTTGAACTGCAAGGTCGGCAGTTCAAGCTCACCAGCTGTTCCTTGGAAACCCTATACAGGGTCTCTATGGGTCGGAATCAACTTGACGGCACTTGACAACAACAACAGTCAACTACTGGAGTCCTGGTGTGGCACTGTGGGTTAATGTGCTGAACTGCAAAGTTAGTCTGAACTGCAAGGTCGGCCTTTACAAACTCATCAACTGCACCTCAGAAACCCCTACATAGGGTCATTATGGGTCAGAACCAACTGACAGCACTTAACAACAACAACAACAACTAGTCAACTACCAATTTACTCTCTGTGTATCTAGATTTGTCTACTCTGGGCATTTCATATAAATGGAACCATGTAACATGTACTCCCTGATGACTGGCTTATAGCGAGTCAAGATTCAGCCCAGAGTTGCAGCATTCCTTACAGCATTCCTACAAAGGCCAATTCATATCCTATTCTATGGATATATGGAGTTAAGTATAGCACTGTAGGATAAACGCTGATGGCTAACTACAAAGTCAGTGATTCAAATCCACCAGCCACTTCTTGGAAATCCTATATAGGATCACTGAGTCTGAATCAACTCAACAGCACTTAGCAACAATATATGGCTATACCACATTTTATTTATCCATTCTTTAACTGATGAACACTTTGCTTGTTTCCACATTGGGGCTATTATGAATAATGCTGCTATAAACTCTGGTAGCGTAGTGGTTACGAATCTGGCTCCAAACCACAAGGTCAGCAGTTCGAAACTACCAGCCGCTCCATGGGAGAAAGATGAGGCTTTCTGCTCCCGTAAAGATTTACAGCCTCGGAAACCCTGTACAGGGTCGCTATGGGTCGGAACTGACTCGATGGCACTTAACAACAACAACAAACATTTGTGTACATGTTTTTGAATGGACATACATTTTCAATTATGTTAGGAATACGAGAGGGCTTCAGAAAGTCCATGGAAAAGTAGAATTAAAAGATACTGAAATTTTTCCCACAAATTCCCTTTGTATACTTAGGCGTGGAATTGCTGGGTCACATGAAAACTCTGACCATGTGAAGAACTGCGAGGCTGTTTACCAAAGATGGCGGCACCATTTGACATTCTCAGTAAGATTTGTTGTTCAAGCTTCAAACTGAGTTTGGCCAGTAGAGATAATGGCAGAGATCAGAGAGCAGAGGGGCATGAGGCTGGTGTATTCATCTGGTTTCCTCCCCACGACACTACTATGAGCCAGCTGCATATTTTAGCACAGGCCAGAGCTCTTGTTGGCAACTCTCCCCACAGAGATCCAAGCTTCCAGTTCTTCCAGCATCTCTTTCCCTTGACTCTTTAAACTCTGAGGTTTCCCCACTGTGACAACCCTTGGAGCACTGCTCTATCCTTATGGCTTTCCTTTGAGTAAATATCTCTTCATTAAACTATCCTCAATTTACTCAATTTGAGTATGCCACCTAGTTCATATCAAGCCCCTCATAGGCACAACTACCCTGTGAGGTGTTGTTGTTGTTAAGTGCCATTGAGTCAGTTCCAACTCATAGCTACTCTATATAGGGTTTCTAAAGAATGACTGGTGAGTTTGAACCACCTACCTTGCAGTTCAAACCGACCTTGAGGTCTGGTGTTTATCCTACAGTGCCAAACCAGGTAGTCAGCTAAAATTATCATCTCTCTGGTATACATAAGGAAACTGAGGCAAGGGAAGGTTAAATAACTTGTCAGAGGTCATACAACTAATTAGGGTAACCTGGGATTTGGGCCCTGGCAGTCTGGATCCAGGGCAGTTGAAACAAAGGAAAAAGCCACAGAATGTAACTACAGAAAAACATGGCGATTCAGGACAAGTGAAGCTGACTAGAGTTGGTGCCAGTGGTGACTAAGAGGCTAGAAAGGCCACTGTGTGCCTGCCTGGCAGAAAACCAGGGACAACAAGCTGAGTTTTAGTCACAGAACAGCCATTCTGAGGGAAGACACTGTCATTGGCTCCCCCTGAGCTCTCCCTTGCAGGAGCTGAGGCTACCCAGTCAGGGGCTGAGCTCCATGGGGCAGAGGTGAAGCTGATGTAGGAGTGAAGGTGTCCCAACCTGTCCCGAGCCAGAACCCTGAGGCCCTGATGAGCAGGGTGGCCTAGGTGTGGCTGGTGTGACCAACAGGATTTACTCTATTGGGAAAATACTTCTGGGACTTGCTTCCTTTCAGGCCTGGATGCTCTCTAGGAGCACAGGATAAAAGCGGAGATCAGGCAGGAGGGGAGGGGAGGGCAGCCATAACCTCAGAACCGGGAAGAGCCACAAGACCAAGGAAATGTTCTTCTGCCTGCTCAGTGGGTTGGCTACGTTGGCTGCCTCCTTCCTGCTCCTGAAACTCAGCACCTTTTACTGGACAAGGAGCTACCTTCCTCCTGGCCCTTTCCCTTTCCCTATCCTTGGAAACCTGGGACAACTAAGCTTTCAGCTGCATCCAGAGACACTACTCCAGGTAGGGATCTGTCTTTGAGTTGGAGACCTTAAAGGAGTGGGTAGATTCACCCTCTCACACTTCCTTTCTTTCCTCCCAGAGACCCTGGGAATAGCATAAAGAAACTGGGCCAGCACAAAACTAGACCAAACCCATTGCTGTTGATTCTAGCTCATGGTGGCCCCATGTGTTGCAGAATAGAACTGTTCCAATATTGCAAAGTCATTTGAACTGCACCAACTGTTGGTGGTTCAAGCTCACCAGCTTCTTCTTGGAAACTCTATACAGGGTTGTTATGGGTCAGAATTGAGGGCACTTAACAACAACATAGGGTTTTCTTGCTTGTAATCTTTAAAGAAGGATCCCTGATGGTACAAAGGTCAAGCACTAGGCTGCTAACCAGAAGGTCAACACTTTGAACCAGGGCTTTGATTGGTTCATTCTTGTTTGACCCCCTGCCTTTCCAGATATACAGAGTCTGAATCTGCATTTTAACAAGATCCCCAGATAATTGTTCTGTATGCACAAGAACCCATTATACTTTAGACTATCTGGAAGGAAAATGCAAATTATCAGTAGGGGATCAATCTGGAATGAACTGGTTTGAAACTCTGACTGGAAGGAGTTTCCTGAAAAGTCACTTAGGATGGGAGTTGGTAGAAGGGAAATAGGACCCCCACACAGACACACTTCTGAATTGCTACACTAAGCCCCCTTCTAGGGGTGGGGCCCATCAGTTAGAGGGCTTCTGTTTTACTGAGTGAGATTTCAAATCCTGGGCCAGAGCTCATCTGTTTCTGAAAATAATGGAGAAGGTGGGAAACCCTGCCCTGCCCCTGCCCTGCCCCCAACACACTCACCTCTCTTCTCCATTTAATCAATGTTGAACAAATACGTATCTTTAATATCAGGGGAAGGATAGGGTTACTATGATTCCCATATTGCTTGTGAAGTGGAAAGTGCGTTGAGAGTCAGGAGACCTAGGTTCAAGGTCCTGGTGTTTTACTAACTCTTTTGGCTTCCATTTTCTACTCCAAAGAAAGGATATAAGGATACTTACTTTGCTTCCTTATTTTGAGGACAAACTCAAGTAGCATATGTACAGCCCTTTCTAGACACTGTTGTTGTTGTTAAGTATCACCCTGGAGTCAGTTCTGACTGTGACCCTGTACAGGGTTTCTGAGGCTGCAAATCTTTGCATGAGCAGAACGCCTCATCTTTCTCCCACAGAACAGCTGGTAGTTTTGAACTGCCGAACCTTGAGGTTAGCAGCCTAATTCATAACCACTAAGTTACCAGAGCTCCTTGACACTAAGCCGTCATAAACCAGTTATTTAATGTAATTTGAAAAACGGATACAGCATACCCACCCTCAGGACCTTGGGGTCCAAATGAGGCACCGTGTTAACTGCTGTACCCACACTACTGTCCAGGTACAGGGAGCTTGTGACCCAGCTGGCCCAGTGCTGGCTGTGGGAACCGCAGTTTGGCTTGCTTGAGGAATAGGGGTATTCTGAGAAGTAAGGTCCCTGGGGGTGGGGGAATTCATGACAAGAGGAATGCCCCTGGCTCTCTCTGCAGCTGGCCAAGGCTCATGGCAGTGTGTTCACTGTGTGGGTGGGCCCAACACCTGTGGTGGTGCTGAGTGGCTTCCAGGCGGTGAAGGCAGCTCTGGTCTCCAACTCGGAGCAGTTCTCTGGCCGGCCCCTCACCCCTCTCTTCCGGGACCTGTTTGGAGAAAGAGGCAAGGCTGCCCTTCCAGTTGGGGAGGAGGGGTGGCTGAAGGTGATGGGCCTGGGCTGACCCTGAACTATATTAAGAGAAAGGAAACTACCAGGAGGACCAGAGGGTGGGGAGTGGAGCCTTAGCTTAGCCCCTTCCCAGCTGTGTGATCTTGAGCAAATCAGCCTCACTCAGCTTCTGTGTGCTCCTCTGTTACATGTGGATAGTGACCGCTTTCACCGCTTGCAGATGTGCAGGAGGTGAGTGAGCCAGTCATGGGATAATGCCCGCACAGTAGAGGACCCGGCTCAACAAATGTCCCTGCCTGTCCTCCAAGCACCTCCCTTCCACCCCTTCTTTGTCTCCTCCGCCAATTCTCATGGAGGCTCTTCAAGGCAAAATTAAGCTGAGCATGGCTGAACCCGTGTTGAGGGCACTGGGCTCACTGCTGTCTCCCACAAATGCCCCTCACTCTGCCCAGCCCAGAGCTGGCTGGAAAGTTGTTCTGGAGTCTGCCTTCCAGGCCCAGGTGAGAGTGAGGTGGCTTTAGCCTGCAAGGCTGAGAGGCATTGCTCACTGTCCTACCTGGGCCCAGGAATCATCTGCAGCAATGGACACATGTGGCGGCAGCAGAGACGCTTCTGCCTGGCAACGCTTCGAGGGCTGGGCCTGGGCAAACTGGCGCTGGATCTGCGGCTGCAGGAAGAAGCAGCAGAGCTGGCCAAGGCCTTCAGCCAGGAACAGGGTGAGGAACAGGCTTACTCTGTGTGTATGCGGTGTGTGTGTGTGACCATTAGAAGGGGTTTTGTGATCCATCAGTACAGACATTTCTACAGGGCTGATGGACACAGACAGGAGTGCCCAACCCACTGGGGAGCCAGAAGCCCTCTCGTCTATAACAGAGGAAGGTCCTCCCCCAACATCCCAGGCCCTCACCCTTCCAAAGCTTTGCACACATCTTTCATTTTTCTGGAATATCCTAGCTCATACCCTTCACTCCCTACCCCTTCCTGCAGACCTGGCTGAGGTTACCTGCTCTAAGAAGCATGCCCTGAGCTCCAGGCACAGCTAGTCCTACCACTGGTTGTCTGTAGTTCTGATGTCAGTCTATTGTTTAACCTGTCACTGAAAACCCAGTACCTGCCATAGGGCCTGGCTCATAGAAAGTGCGCACTAAACTTTTGTTGAATGAATGGATGAGGAATGAGGGAGTAAAAGAGAATATTACAAGATTGTACAAGTGCTCTTTGTGCCTCTTCACCTTGAACTCTGACCCTTTGCCCTCAGGTAGACCCTTCGACCCTCAGGTGCTCATAGTCAGGGCCACGGCCAGAGTCATCGGGGCCCTCGTGTTTGGCCGCCACTACCCCTCGGAGGATCCCCTGTTTCAAGAACTGACTCAAGCCATCAACTTTGGCCTGGCCTTTGTCAGCACCATTTGGCGCCGGGTAAGTTGAAATTGAGGGAGCTCTGGTGACACTATGGTTAAGCATTAGGCTGCTGACTGAAAAGTCAGTTGTTCGAACCCATCAGCTGCTCCTTAGAAGAAAGATGCAGCAGTCTGCTACCATAAATAATGACAGCCTTGGAAACCCTACGGGCCAGGTCTATTCTGTCCTATAGGATCACTATGAGTCTGAATCAACTAGATGACAACGGGGTTGGTTTGTTAAGTTGGCATAGTGTTGTTCCACGGTAGAATACCCACCTTCCATAAGAGAGACCCTGGTTTGATTCCTGGCCAATGTACCTCATGCACATCTACCACCCCCCTCCCCATCAGTGAAGGTTTGTGTCTTGCTATGATACTGAACAGATTTCAACAGAGCTTCCAGACTAAGAAGGAGTAGGAAGAAAGGCCTGGCAATCTACTCCAGACAATCACCTAATGAAAGCCCTATGGATCACAGCAGTCAGATCCACACCAATTATAACGAAGGTCCAGGAACAGGCAACATTTTATACTTCTGTGCATGAGGTTGCCATGAATCAGGGGCCAACTCAGTGGCACTTAACAGTAACAAGTTGACACTGTGGATGACAGGTGTGCTGGCCCCTAGGCAGCTGGGGTTCAGAGCAGACAGGGTGAGAGGTGGGCAGGATGGACGCCTTAGGACTTGAGTGAGTTGAACCAGTTAAAATATCAAACCTCATTTGTTGTGGCTCACCGTGATTGTATGGGCAGTAAGTATGAACAGGGTTACATCCTCATAAACACACCTTCCCAAACTGCAACATCCAAGCTAGAACCTGGGCACCACTCTCTGCTACCACTATTCTCACTTCTCCCTAGATTGGTTTTGGGGTCTCCAGACAAGAGGCAGCCCATGTCTGAGACAAGCCCATCTTACAGCCCCTAAGTGTAGCACTTAGGATAAGCCCTGGACTGCTAACTGCAAGGACGGAGGTTCAAACTCACCAGCCACTTCTTGGAAACGCTATACAGGGTCTCTATAAGTAAGAACAAACTTGATGACACTTAACAGCAACAAGGCAGATCTTGGTGTCTGATTCAGGGACAAGTACCTGTGCAAGCCCTAGGCAGGCCTCTTTCCCTACAGCTGTACGACATATTCCCCTGGGCCCTCCGCCACCTGCCGGGACCCCACCAGGAGATATTTAGGTACCGGGAAGCTGTACGGGACTTCATCCACCAGGAGATCAGCAGGCACAAGCTCAGGGCACCTGAGGTCCCCAAGGACTTCATCAGCTGCTACCTGGCCCAGATCTCTAAGGTGGGCCTGGAATGAGTATAAAGGGAGGGAGGGAGGGAGGGAGCTAGCTGCTTTCCCAGGTTGCACTTCCTTTCCAGGCCCTGGCCTCTGTTCCTCATTACTGACCCAGGCCACACACTCTCAGAGCACCCCCATTTGGGTTTTCCTCTCTATCCTTGTCCATTGTGGGAAGCCAAGAACCTGGCTGATGTCAGGTCCAGAACCCCAAGAGCAGTCTCTCTTCAGTGAACAGCCCTGAGAATGAGACCCTCACAAGGTTTGACTCAGAGGAATTCTAATCCCACAAATCTGGGGACAAGCTGGAACTCATGGGCAACAAGGCTCTGTGACAGGGGAGCTTAACACCCACCTGGACTGCTCTTCCCCAACCAGGCCAAGGATGACCCTGTGTCCACATTCAATGAGGAGAACCTGACCCAGGTGGTGATTGACCTGTTTCTGGGGGGCACAGATACCACAGCCACCACCCTGCGCTGGGCGCTCCTCTACATGGTCCAGCACCAAGCCATCCAGGGTAAGGGTCCTCATCACCCTGGCGGACTCCCACACTCATCGTCCATGTCAGGCAATGGTCCCTGCCCACACCTCCCTCTCTGGCCTGAGCCCAGGTGTGAGACCTGCTCTCATGGCTATGGTATCACGGCTTTGTAGTTAGACAGGAAGGACCTCAAGTCCTACCTGCTACTTACTGCGTGAATTTGGATAAATCATTCAACTTCTAGGGAACAGGGTAAAATGGAGCGATATTATTTCACTCATTCTGCAATGATTCAATACCTACTAAGTGCCAAGCCATGTGTTAACGCCCCCCTCAAAATCACAGTCTTGGAGGGAGAAAGGTGACGGAAAGTCTCTTGGAGGCAAAGGAAGAGAATCTAAATTCAAATCCAGGCTCCACCAATTTTGTGACCTTGAGCAAAATTACTTGTCCTGTTTGAACCTCAGTTGTCCCATCTATAAAACAGAAACAATAGTGCCTATCCCATAAGGTTCATTGTACAGAGAATGCCTGGTGCAAAATAAAAAGTGTTCCACTCTAGGTTCCTGCACTTCTTGGAACTTCTTCCTCCCCCTCCAAGAGCAAACCCTGAAAAATCTTGCTCAAGGAAGCAAGCTGGGCCTCAGGAAGGGTCTCTCCCATGAAAGTGCAGGTCACGGGGTGAGGTGACAGACTGTGGGCCTCAGCAGCCTCCATAGGCTGGATGGGGACAAGGGTGGCAGAGTAGGTGGACCAAGCTGCCGGATGCCCTCCCTGACCCATGTGGATCTGCCTGCAGAGCGGGTGCATCAGGAGCTAGATACAGTATTGAGCGCCACCCAGGCTGTCTGCTACGAAGACCGTGAGCATCTGCCCTACACCCGTGCCGTCATCCAAGAGGTGCAACGCCTCAGCAGTGTCGTGGCCGTAGGTGCCGTGCGCCAGTGTGTGACCTCCACTTGTGTGTGTGGTCACCCTGTGCCCAAGGTAAGTGACCCCATCAGACACAGCACCTGAAGAAGAACCCTTCAATGTCCTTCCTGTACAGCACAGACAACTGCTACAACTACTGCTTACATGCCTCCTACTAATCCATCATTCATCTCGCTGCCATCTCTCATTCATCCATCCACCCACCTACCTTACCTACCTAACTACCTCTGTCTGTCTATCTATCTATCTATCTATCTATCTATCTATCTATCTATCTATCTATCTATCTATCTATCTATCTAGAGTCCTGGTATAGTGCTGTAGGTTAATGCACTGGACTGCAAAGTCAGTTTGAACCTCAAGATTGGTGGTTCAAGCTCACCAACTGCTCCTTGGAAACCTTATACAGGGTTGCTATGGGTTAGAACTGACTCGACAACAGTAACATCTTTCTATCTAATCTATGACATTTGGAGGTTTCAGTGCAGCACTCAGATGAAGCCAGATTAGGATGAAAAAACCTGGCAATCTACTTTTAAAAAAAGCCAGCAGTGAAAATCCTGTGGATCACAACTGTGTGATCCATATACGAATATAGGGATAGTGCAGGACTGGGCAGCATTTAGTTGCATTGCGCGTGGAGTCACTGGAGTGAGTAGGAGTGAACTGGATGACAATGGTTTTCCAGCCCTCGGATCTTTCCAATATTTTCAGTTCACATAGATTTTATACAGTTGTGATGATGTTGGCCTACAGATAGCATGGCTCTTCTACACCAGTGGTTTACAAACTTCAAGGGACATCAGAGGCACCTACCTGCAGGGATTCTATCCAGTAGAAGGAAATCACTAGATCCAGCCTCACTCAAGGGAAGGATGTGAACACTAGGAGTTAGGGATCCTACCAGAGGTGGACTGTTTTAGAGGTAGCCTACCAGAGGAGACATTCTAATGGACATGAAGCAGATTCACTCATCTTTCTTGTGTAGATACAGGACAATCCCCTGTGCACAGAGGTGGTGGCTAGAACCCCATGACTTTCCTCAGAAAGCAGTCTTGCCTTTTCACTGATATTCCAGCCCCTACTTGGTGAACCCCATGTAGTACACTATCAATGTGGTGAGGAGAGAAAGTGTGGGGGCTGTCTCCTCTTTCATCAGTGGTTCAGCACTTACAGACCCTGGTGTGGGACAGATTTGACCTCAAGGATCTGCCAAGATGTGATTATTAATTTAATTCTCAGATTAAGCCCCTACCTCCACACATTTCTTTTTCACAACAAACCTTTCCTACAGTTGTTGTCACTCATTTTTTATAGGTGGGGAAACTGTTTTAGAGAACTCAAGTAGCTGCCCAAAGACACAGTAACTGAGTTTGAAATTCATGTTCTCCTGATTCCTACAGCACCACACCAGAACTCCATATTGCTCAAAAAAAACAGGTCCCTCTAGGTGGTTACAAGTTAGGCTGCTATCCTCAAGGTCAGCAGTTCAAAACTACCACCTTGTTCCACAGGAGAAAGATGAGCCTTTCTGCTCCCATAAAGATTTAGAGCCTCGGAAACCCCACACGGGATCACTATGAGTCAGAACCAACTCCACAACACATACCACCACCAGGGAAATAAAAAGAGTCCTCGTAGCACTCTGGATTAGGCATTGGACTGTTAACTGAAAGGTCGACGGTTCAAACCCACCAGCTTCTCCACAGGAGAAAGATGAGACTGCATGCTCGAAATCAACTCAGTAGCAATGGATTTGGTTTGGTTTCAGTAGACTGGCTGTTCTTGAACTGTCCTTGGCAGTGAGTGGCCAGCAGGGTCATAAATCAGTCAAGGCTTTTCCAGAATATATGAGTAGAACCACATCATCAGCTCATCCTGCTGTTGGCAGTGGCAGGAGAGCCTGGGTCCAGACCTTCTAAAAGCTTGCCAAGTTAGGTCAAGTTTCAGAAGGAGGGAGCCAGGGTTAAATTCTGTTTTATGCCATTTGGAATTGGAGATTTCCATGAAGAGTCCATTTATGCCAATCTACTTCTAGGAATTGTTCCATGCTAAAGGCCCTGGGGGAACATTAACAGTGTGGAATCAATATTGAACTCTTATAGCTTGGACAAGAGATGTCTCCTGAAAAGTAGAATCAAAGTTTGACAGCAGATCATTAAAAACTACAAATACAACTGTTTCTTAGCCATTTCCTCAGCTGAGTCGTAGTGACAACAGCAATGGTCCTTAATAAAAACTGTTGTCTTTCAAGTCTCTCTCTTCAGACACGCTGTTCATTTGTGAACCCCAAACCTGCTATTTACTGAGGAGAAGGTGTCACAAAGTCCCCAGGGGTTAGTTACCTAACAAGGGGACTGCACTGTAATTTGAAGGCAGAGAAGGTTGTCCTTTTGTGTTTTGGACAGGCTGTGCTCTGAGCCTATTACATGAATTAAGATGGTGTGTTGCTATAGTATAAGCATTGGACTGCAAAGTCAGTGTTGTTCAAGCTCACCAGCCACTCCTTGGAAACCCTATACAGGGTTGCTATGAGTTGGAACCAATTTGATAGTACCTAACAACAACAATGTCACTTTGCAAATACTCTAGAACATCACCCAGCCAGATTAGCAACTATTTTGAAGGAACAAAAGATTCTTGTCCAAAGCCTCTTCATCTAAAAGTAATTGATAAGAACTGTTGTCATGCAGTTGTTGCAGTTAGATGGGTTTCCAAGGCTGTAAATCTTTACGGAAGCAGAGAGTCTCATCACTCTGCAGATCAGCTGGTTAGTTTGAACTGCTAAACTTGTGGCTAGTAATCCAGCCCTCTGGTCCCCACCTCTGTGCTGTTTGGTAAGTGAGCCGTGGGGCATGAGATTTTCCTCAGCACCCCTGAAGCTGGATGTCCTGGGTTCCTAGAACCATGACCAACACCATTCTTGCTCCACTTGTCCTCTTTTTGCTGCTTCTGGCCAGCCCACAGCCTACATGGAAAAGGTAGAAATTACCCTGACAGGCTCCTTTCTTCTCCTTCTGATCAGGCCAATGATTCTAATCACTCATTTCTCCTTTGAGATACCAAAACGGATAGGGTAAGGTTACAGTCAGAATCCAGGTGGGGGTTTGTTTTCCTTCCCCAACCCTAAAGATTTCTCTCGTTCTCTTTCTCTGTCACTAATACACACACACACACACACACACACACACACACACGTTGTTCCAGAGTTTATTACCCTGTGTAGGATTTGGTCTCCTCCATTCATGCCAACAGAGTCCTAGTGTGGTGCTATGGGTTAATGTGCTAGACTGCAAAGTTGTTTGAACCACAAAGTCAGTGGTTCAAGCTCATCAGCCGCTCCTCCGAAATCCTATATAGGGTTGTCATGGGTCGGCACCTACTCAACATTGCTTAACAACAACAATAACAAATTCATGCCAACAGCCTCTTGCCTTCTTCATACAATTCAGAAACTCTGTGTCTCTAGACCTGGGTTGGGGGTCTTCAGGGCTTCCCTTGTGCCACATCAGTCCATTCACTGATGTGAGTCTGGAGGGAGGGAACCCAGGAAAGGCCTGCTGCCCCTGCTCCCTATTATTGTCTAAGCTTGCTTTGACACAGTGTCAGGACTGGGCACGGGGTCATCTGAGGCTCCCTGAGCCATACCAGCTTCTCTTCTGCAGGGCACCATCATCTTGCCCAACCTGGCCTCTGTGCTCTATGACCCCAAGTGTTGGGAGACTCCCCGACAATTCAACCCCAGCCACTTCCTAGACAAGGATGGAAACTTCATGGTCAATGAGGCCTTCCTGCCATTCTCTGCAGGTGCTGGGCGCAGTGCTGGGTCCTGGGTGGTGGGTGGGGGTATGGTGAGGCAGACACAGGGACAGCTGCCACCCTCTGAGATTTTCCTCTGCTTCCAGGTCACCGGATGTGCCCTGGGGACCAGCTGGCCCGGATGGAGCTCTTCCTAATGTTTGCTACCCTGCTCAGGGCCTTTGAATTCCAAATGCCAGAAGGGAGCCCCGGGCTCAGTCTGGAGTATGTCTTTGGGGGTACTCTGCAGCCCCAGCCCCAGAAGATCTGTGCAGTGCCCCGGTCCCAACTGTAGCCAGTTGGGGTCAGGAGATCTGTACCCCACAGAGTCCTTCCTCAGTCTCTCTTGCTCCTGCAGAGTTGGAGAAGAGGAAGAATAGCTCAGCAACTCATGGCTCCCTTAATACAAGTTCTTTGGGGTGGCATTAGAGGCTAGGCTTATTAAGGATTTTATAAAAATAGCTCCGTTTGGGGACCTCTTCTTTGGCAGGGAAAGATTTTACGAAGTTTGTTAAGATTGGACATTAAATCGTTCCACAGGTTAATCCGGGGAATCAAGCTTCACAAAGTAACAGCTAAGTAGGTTCAGAGGGAAAAGCTTTCAGGCAAAGGTTTTTAATGCTATTGATGGCGGGGGCAGACTAAACCAAAGGTGGATGTTTATTTTCTGCCTTGTCCTGCCCTCTCTTGACCAAGAAAAGAAGTGCAGGCTATACACTTAAAAAGCGGGGCTACTACAGACTTATGAGAGGAAAATTAGCAAGCAGTCAAATATAGCTATTTCCAACAAATTCTCCATCAAGGACTCCTTTTACCTTTCCTTAAAGACGTTGTGGGTTACTGCACTGGACTGCAAAGTCAATTTGAACCACAGAAAACCTATACAGGGTCTCTATGGGTCAGGACTAACTCAACAGCACTTAACAACAACAACAAGAAAGGGTCCCAGATTTTGAAACCTATGTTTCTAGACAACCATTACTTATTAAAGCAATTAATGATTTACATTGTTGTTTGAACTTCCGACCTTGTGGTTCAAACCAATCTTACAGTCCTGTGCTTTATCCCCTAGCACTATGCCAGGACTCCAATGACTTACATTGTTGTTGTTGTTAAGTGCTGTCGAGTCGGTTCCCACCCATATTGACCCTGTATAGGGTTTCAAGGAGCAGCTGGACAATTTTGCTGTTCAAACCACCAACTTTGCTGTTCAAACGGCTTTACAGTCTGGCACATTAACCCACAACACCACACCAGTACTCAGGAAAATGGAATTGAAATAAAAATGAGATCTCACTATACATCTATTGTTGTGAGGTGCTGTCAAGTCACTTCCAACTCATAATGACTTCATATACAACAGAATGAAACACTGTCTGGTCCTGGACCATTCTCAAAATTGTTGTTGTGTTTGAACCCAGTACTTCTTTTTAAACTGCCAAAAACAAACAAACCCTGGCAACCTCGAGTACTATGGAGGAGGCCGAGTAACTGGAATGCCCACACACTGTTGGTGGGAATAAAAAGTGATGCAATCATGGTGGAAAACAGTTTGGTAACTTCTTATGAAATTAAACATGCGCATTGTATGTATAACCCAGCAGTACTACTCTTAAGAGAAATGAGATGTATGTTCACACAAAAACGTACATTATGATTCCATTTTTATGGCATTCTTGAAAAGGCAGAACTATAGGAACAGAAAACAGATAAGTGGTTGCCAGAGACTGGGAGTGGGGTAAAGACTGACCATAAAGGAAGTTTCGGGAGTGATGGGAATGTTTGGTATCTTGACTATGGTGATGGTTATATGACTATAATGTGTTTGTTAAAACTCATCAAACTGTACACTTAAAAGGGGGATATTACGGTATATATATCAGATCTCAACAAACCTGATTTTTTTTAAAGTCTTACCTTTCTCCTTTGTATAATTTTAAAAATGTACAAGCAAACCAATTGCATGAATAATTTCCTCTAGGAAGACGAGCACAAGGTTGGTCTCTATGAGTTGGAAGTTAAAGTTATCCCAGCTGTTGGACTTTTCTGACATATTATGCCCTCCATAGTCCTTGATATCAATCACCACTTCTCCTTCCCTCAAATCCCAGGGTCCTGCAACATGCTTCAATGTTTCACAAAACCCACAATTGTTGAAAGAGATGGCTCACACAATTGTGAAGACTTGCAAGTCCCAAATCCGTAATTCAGGTATCAGTCTGGAGCAATCTTCTCACCCACGTAGTCCCAGGAACTGAGGAACCCAAATTGGCATGTCCAATGACAGGCTATTGGTGATGCAGGAGCTGGTGAATCAGGCGGGGTGATGCGCCAAAAGTCCTACAAACTGGAGGTCAGACGGAATGAATACGATGCAAGAGAGTGAACTTTTCCAAAACAGTCCTATAGATCAGGGTCAGACCATGCCCTGAAGGGAAACTAAGGATGGTCATTTGAGTCACATCCTCTAGTAAGGTGGTGTTGTTAAGTGCCTTTGAGTCAGTTCCGACTCATAGCAACACTGTATAGGGTTTCAAGGAATAGCTGCTGGATTTGAACCGCCGACTTTGCAGTTCAAAACGACATTGCATTTAAGTGCTAACCCTACAGCGCCATACCAGGACTCCCTCTAGTAAAGTGAGGCCATCCTTAATCCTTAGTTCCATTGGAATCCTTACTCCTTAGCAACTCACTTCAAAATGGGTCCATAATCACAGGCATATTATTGTTGTTGTTAAGTGCCATCGAGTCAGTTATGACTCATAGTGACCCTGATTAGGGTTTTCCAAGTAGCCGCTGGTGAGTTTGAATTGCCGATCTTTAAGCTTAAACAGACCTTGCAGTCCAGCACATTAATCCGCAGCACCACACCAGGACTCTTCATCACAGGCATTGTTGTTGTTGTTAAGTGCCCATCAAGTCAGTACCGACTCATAGCGATCCTATGCACAACAGACCGAAACACTGCCTGATCCTGGGCCAACCTCACTACCGTTGCCACGCTTGAGTCCATCAATGCTGCCACTTGGCCAATCCATCTTGCTGGGGGTCTTTCTCTCTTTTTCTCTGACCCTCCACCTTACCAAACATGATATCCTTCGCCAGCAACTGATACCTCCTGACAATATGTTCAAAGTATGAGAGATGAAGTTTGGCCATCTTGGCCTCCAAGGAGCACTCTGGTTTCACTAATTCCAACACAGATCTGTTGGTTCTTCTGGCAGCCCATGACACTTTCAATATTCTCCTCCAACACCATAACTCAGAAGCATCAATTTTTCTACAGTCTTCCTTATTCACTGTCCAGCTTTCATATCCATATGAGGTTATTGAAAATACCATGCTTGGGTCAGGCGCACCTTAGTCCTCAAGCTGACATCTTTTCTTTGCTCATCAACACTTTAAAAAGGTCTTGTGCAACAGATTTGCTTAATGCAATACATCGTTTGATTTCTTGACTGCTGCTTCCATGAGTGTTGATGGTTGATCCAAGAAGAATGAAGTCCTTGACAACTTCAATCTTTTCTCCATTGGTAAGAATGTTGTTGATTGGTCCAGTGGTGAAGATTTTTGTTTTCTTTACATTGAGATGCAATCCATATCGAAGGCTGTGCTCTTTGATCTTCATCAGTAAATATTTTAAGTCTTCACTTTCAGCAAGCAAGGTTGTATCATCTGCATATCACAAGTTATTAATGAGTCTTCCTCCAATCCTGATGCCATGTTTTTCTTCATACAACCCAGCTTCTCAGATTATTAGCTCAGCATACAGGTTGAATAAGTATGGTGAAAGAATACAACCTTGTCGCACACCTTTCTTAATTTTAAACCATTCAGTGTTCCCATGTTCTGTTCAAACAACTGCCTCTTGGTACATTTACAGATTCCTCATGAGCATAATTAAGTGTTCTGAAATACTCATACTTTGCAATGTTGTTCATAGCTTGTCATGATCCACACAATCAAAAGCCTTTGCGTAGTCACAGGCATAGAGGCTAGGATTTGCACTATATCACAGAATGGAGAAATCTTACTTTGTTGTTGTTGTTAAGTATCATCAAGTTGGTTCCAACTCATATCAAACCTGCATAAGATTTCCTAAGAGCTACTGCCATATTGTCAGGAGGGACCAATCACTGGAGAAGGGTATCATGTTTGGTAAGGTGGAGGGTTAGAGAAAAAAGGAAGACCCCCAACAAGGATTGGCAAAGTGACAGCATCAATGGGCTCAAGTGTGGCAACAATAGTGAGGTTGGCCCAGGATCAGGCAGTGTTTCATTCTGTTGTGCATAGGGTTGCTATGAGTCAGTACTGACTTGATGGCACTTAACAACAACAACTGGTGGTTTGAACTGCTGACCCTGTGGTTAGCACTCAAGTGCTTATCCTACAGCACCATCCCAGGACAACAGAAATTTGACTAGCAGGCCCATAGTAAATAATTGGCTTGCCTCCACCAACATTTCTAATTAGTAGGAGACACATCTATACTGATCTGGGAGAATTACAACCAGAAATAATGAAACTTTATATATTAATTAGCCTCTGGCTTCTTTGCAGACAAATATACAACTTTCTCTAGGTCTTGAAACTTGAAGCTTGCTCACAGATACCCTTATTTGTTTCTGTGGAACCCTACCCTTATGTGTTTTCCCCTCCCCGAGGGCAGTAGAAAACCTGAGGCTTTCGTAATTGGCTGGTCCCTGACCCCAGGTAGGTAGCTGAGCTGTGCTTATGACTCAGTCTAACTCTGAGGTAGAGAACACAAAGCCAGGCCCTAACTGCTCTTGCCTCACTCTCTTAACTTCTGCTAGTTCTCTCCCTGTTAGGGTCCCTCTCTGACCTCTCATCTGCCCCCCTGCCACCTTCCAGTCTCCTGTCTTTGGTCCCGCCTAATCCTCAGTATATTACTCTTTTTAAATGCCAACTCCTCCAGGAAGCTTTCCTTCACATGAGCTTTGACCTTGGTTAAAATCCCAGTTTTTCTATCAGTATCTAACTCTTCTGTGCCTTGGTCTCTACATCTGTTAGCAGAACAATATGAGCTCTCCCTTATACGATGGCTGTGAGTGGTGATACTCAACACAGAGCCTGGAGCATCGTGCTCGCTCAGGAAGTACATGTTAGTGGGGACTCGATTTCTTGGCTATACATCTGTAAGTACTTTGCACTTCTGCATATAGTCCTGAAATGAAACTGATGGTGATAGCCCTTCCCCTGTTCATGAACTTCTGCCTCAGTTTTTACCTGCTCCCTCTTAATGATACTGACGACAGCTGCAATGTGTTGAGTATG